CAGGTCGGTATGCTCTTTGTGAGCTTTGGCCAGTTCAGCTCGGAGGTCCTTGATCTCCTCTTCTTTTTGCCCACTGAAGAGTTTGAGGGCATCTCTCTCCTCCGTGAGCCTTTTGAGATCGGCCTCACACCGGTTCAGCTCGGCTCGGGATTTAGAAAACGCTTCCCGATGAAGCGTCATGGCTTATGGAGAAAGAAAGGAAATCAGGCAAAAGGAAATAAAGGCAAACGTAAAACTAATAATGGGAGCTGAAGTCTACCTGGCTCAGGAGTCGCTGAGCCTCATTGAAAATGATCGATGCATCCAGATCGGAAGCATCTTCGACTCCCGCGAAGCAACCGTGGAAAAGGTCCTCTACCTCGTGGGCCATTGCCACATCGAGGGTCTCAATGGCCTGGGCTTCCTGAATTTGCCCCTCGAAAAATGAGGGGAGGGGCGGCGAATCATCAACGTTTATTTTCCCAAGCAGGTCACTTGGGTGTTCTCTTCATTCTGAAGGGCCTCAAAACTAGCCCCTTCACGCACATCCTCCAATTGCTCATCACGGCGAGAGGCATCTTCAGCCTCCGAGGACTCGGGGAATTGCTCGAGCCACCTATCGAGACCTCCTCGGTCCGAGGCTGAACCTCTTCGATCATCGCCGGCTCCGCGGCCTTTGGGACCTCGGTGCCCCTCTTTCGAGCCACCAGCTCATAGTCAGCATCTTCTTTTTCCTCTTCTTCATCTCGTAGTCGCTGAGCTACGTCGGCAGGCAGTTACGAGCCTTGCTCTTTTTAGGCTTTGGAGTCTCGAAGGGCGAGACCCTTTTTTCTTTTCTTCTCCTTCGATAGCTTCAGGACACGGGGCGGAACCTCCTCCTCCCCGGATGAGGGCCTCATGACGGCATCTTTCCCAAGGCCTATATGAAAAGAAATCAAGTAAACATAAGAGGGAAAAACATTTTAAAGTTATGAGATACGTGAAGAAAAGGCTTACTGTGATTTTTGGCCTCCCATCGGCCCCTTACTAAATCGTGCCACGAGCGCTCAACATACGAGGAGTTTGAAGCTAGGGTTCGAACCCAGCTCTCGAGGTCTGAAATCGCACCAGGCGTCCAAGCGACTGCTACATCACAAAAAAAGGATGTTAGTAAAAAGAAGTAAAGGAAACAAAACAGTGAATAAAAGCCAAAGGAAGGATCGAACTTACGCTTCATATTCCACTTCTCGGGAAATGGCATCTTCTTGGCCGGAATTAGGTCGGAAGTTTTCACTTGAACAAACTGACACATCCACCCTCGATCCTTGTCCTTGACTATGCTCGAGAACAACACCTTGGTGGCCCAACGTTGAAGCTTTAACAACCCACCTTGAAAAAAATGGGGCCTATACAGCCTGATGAGGTGGTCGAGGGTGAAAGTCATCCCTTCTTTTTTACTCGCGAAAAATCGAAGCAAAATGACAATCCGCCTAAAGGAAGAGTGGATCTAGTCTAGGGTTTTTTGGTATTAGCGGTAGACGTCGATGATAACGGGATCGACAAGGCCCAACGTGAAAGGATAAGTGTAAAAAATCATAAACCCTTCCACGTGGGTAATAAAGTCTTCCTCGGGAGACGGAATCACCACCTCTTTCTTCTCCCAATGGCAGTCTTCCTTGACCTGCTCGAGGGCGCTCTCAGTTATCAAGCACATGTACCTAGACATCGGCTCACACCGGCCAGGGACAGAAGAAGTTTTCTCGACTTTGAAGTCGAAAGAAAGATTGCACCCCATCTCGGGAATGCATACCTCAGGGCAGGGCTCCACTGGTGTTTTATCGCCGGCCGGCCGCGATGAAGAAACCTTTTCTTTTTGAGGAACAGTTTTGGATGTTTTTGCCATTTTTATATGGATTCTGAGAAAGAAGAAGATGAGATTTGTAGTTTTGAAGAAAGGTTGGTAACGAGGCCTAGAAATTATGCAAGAACAGAGAGGCTTAATTGGATCTGAAGAACTTTGAAGAATTGCGGAAAGACTTGAAAAACTCAGAGGGGAATTGGAGATTGGTACAAGAAATATTCAAAGTAAAAGTTTAAAGAAGTGAGAGGGAGACCTATTTAAGGATTCACGGCGACGGTTCAAAGGCACTAGTGGCCGACCATCAACTGACGTTCATTAATGGGAACTGTAACGCTTCGGTCGCTTATGTCGCTTACGTCACAAGGGTGACGTCATAACTGGTTGAGGTATAAAATCGAAGGCTCAGTTTGTTTCTTCTCATTACACTCCAAGAAACGAAGGGACTATCTGTATACGGGTAAAATAGGACTTGTCCGATTCTGCCATTTAATCGAAGACCATGGAATCGCGTCGAGGGTCAGTTTCGTAATGGATCAGGTCAGAGCACTAAGATAAAGTATCAAACTCGAGAATCGAGGTGCTCGTCGAGATTGAGGCCAACAACGATCAAGACCATATATGACAAACTCCGAATGAAGCGCAATAATGGGAAGGCGAGATATCTGTAACCGGTCGAAGATCACGGCGGAAATCCCGGAATAGATCAGATCAAGGGCGGTTGTTTAGGCTAATCATGGGATTTACTTCTGTAATTAGAGTTATACCATAATTAGGACTCCTCTACTATAAAAAGAGGAATCTCCATCATTTGTAGACACCTTACATTCACGAATATCAAAGCAATATAATATTTCTCAGCTTACTTTCTTGTTCATCAGCTTATTGTGCCTTTAACTATTCTTGCATAACTAGCTCAAGGGTGTCTGAGCTCGAGCGCTCTGTCCAAACACTGGTTTGCTTTATATTATTGTCAATTCGCATCACTTATCTTTACGTTTATCAATTGGTATTAGGTGAAATAACATATTCTTAAAACAACATTATAAGTTTAATTGTTATCCAATTTTTAAGGGTAAACAAAGCATAAATACTTTCACCATGGAAATGGAGGTAACAACCAGCGATGAAGTCACCTTTGTTAATCATCAAGAAATTACACCGTGTAGCTATGTGAGCAAGAGGTCACGGATTCGAACCGTGAAAACAGCCTCTTGCAGAAATACAGGTAAGGCTGTGTATGATATACCCTTGTGGTCCGGCCCTTTCCCGGACCCCGCGCATAGCGGGAGCTTAGTGCACCGGACTATCCTTTAAATTACACCGTGTAGCTAGGTAAATTATTATTTTATGCATCACTTAACTTTTTCGTATATTTACCTCTTTATATTTTGATTTCTCTTTCGCGAATATCTTATTTCCGTCAATGATAACACTAAGTAGAAGGTTTCGGGACCAAATTCAGGAGGGGGACAAGGGTATGCCACTCGCAATAATGCAATCACAAGGGGTGCAAAGCAACTTCTTTTTTATCGGTTAGAGAGTTTGGAGGATATAAAGGAACAACAGTGACTCAACCTTTTTGATGTTGAGCATGAGCTGTCTCAACAAGTCAAAAAGCAAGCCCCTACATATCAATTATCATGATGTTGATTCGACAAGCTAACTAAAAACACAATCAACAACTTCTTCGGATATCCTTCTCTCGGAAAGGAAATTATTATAGGAGAAAAGTAGAAAACTTTTAGTCTCAAAACTACAGAACCCGGGCCCCCCCTGAACGAGCATCCAAAGGATTAGAATAGAGATCGTCTCCCATACAACCATCTGCTAGTAGGCATTGTCTACCATATAGGCAGGGCAGTACATGCCTCTCATTGGAACTGAATCAAAATGAGGATGAGATTTTAGGTTTCATTAGAACAGATGTAGATCAAACCAATCTCGATTAGAAAAAGAAACTGCCTTTGGAGTCAATAGAAGGATGTAACATTTATATAAAATATATTTCAACAAGTCATGTCAATAATTAAGGATAAAATAAAAGTATTAAAATTAAATAGTTTTCGAAAAGAAATACGTGTCATTCCTTTTTAACAAACTAAAATATCGTGTATCACATTAAGTGGGACAGAGGGAGGAACAAGTTCCATGTTTGGCATTTTCAGTTGCAGCACTCAGGTATTCAAAGTGCGCACAGAAATATTCATGTGCGGGCGTGGTCTAAAAGGTCCCACTCATGCACTTTGATGAACCTGGCAGTTCAAGTGTTAGGCGTAGGTCACAACATGCACTTTGATCCCCTCAATAGACATATGATCCACCAAAGAGGAGCCCGTTTGGATTGATTTTAAAAAAGTGGCCTTTAAGCACGGTGCTTAAAAGCACGTTTTAAGTTCTTGAACTTATTTTTATAAATAAACAGTTACGTATTTGGATAAAAGTGTTTAATCTAAAAAAAAATTATTGAAGTGTTTGGTAAATAAAGGCTGATAAGCACTTTTTCTATTAAAATGACTGAAATATCCTTAAATGTTAACACTAAACATCTCGTTTATAAAGATTAGCTTGCGCATCTTCTTCATCAAGGCCATTGGCTTCCTCTTCAAACCTCTCTAGAACCTTCTGCGAGGACGAGCATTAAAGAGCTTAACAAGCTCGTCAATGGACATGTCAAGTAAAGCATCGAGATCAACGCCTCTAGAACTAAACTTCTTGAACGTCCTCTTCTTTGGCTATCCTGTCGTCACATCGGCTTCAACATCCGCCATGGTTGTGGGGAGTGAATTGGCAACCAGACAAAGAAGCAGCTCGAGCACAGAAGGGGCATGTTTTAGGGTTTTCTCTTGAGGGGTAATTTCGGAATTAAGAAAAATTATAAAGGATGAGAATGTAATATACTTGGCCAAAGCAATATGGCTTTTAAGCCAATTTCGAAAAAACTATGTTTACCCAACTTGTTGATTTTGACTTTTTTTAAGCAGATTTTAACTTTTTTTAAGCTCCTTTTTTGGTTGCCAAACGCTTCCACAAGTGAAAAAGTGCTTGAAAACTGATTTGACCAACTTTTAAGCCCATCCAAACAGGCTCTAGGTGTGTTTCGGTCTCTTAATAGTTGTTGCAGATTCTCAATGATGCAACACAACTAACCCCTTCTGGCTTAAATAAGCAGTATTACTGAGGATAAAGAAACAGACTGCACTTGAATTTCTGAGAAAACCAGCAACACTGATATTACTGTATAAAGATGTACAAGAAAAAGACATAAACCAGATAATACAAGTAATTATACATTAAAGCAGAAACAGCAAAAGCTTGGAGAGACTCCTTTAAGACACTTGATTACGATATTGATAAACCATTATTTGTTACTAGGTCCTTGAACCACCTAGCTATCTGCTGCTAACGCCTGGGACTCGGCTATAAACCCAATGCTGAAGCCAAAACTTATGCAGGACAGTTGCTGATTCTTGTCATCCACCATCTTCATTGTAAGAGTGTATGATCCCTAAATTTTGAAAAGGAAAAAGAAAAGCATCATTAAGTACGTTTAAAGGCGGCAGTACAGGATTTTCTTCCAATTCAAACCCGGAAAACCAAATAAAGACAAGTTATAATGATAAATAAATCAGCATCTGAAACATCAATAAATATCAAGTAGATGCAATCGGAAAAAGCATCTTCTGAACGATTGAATTCAGGTAGACCTGTAAATGCAATTGGAAAAAGCATCTTCATACAATATATTTGGCTGGTTTTTATTGTTCAAAAAGAAATTGTATTAGACTGGCCTTTGATGTGCTCTACTTTCTAAAGGCTTTCCCTCGAAAAGGATGAAGGGTAATAACAGAACCAAAAAGCAAGAAAATCTACAAAAATACCAAGCAAAAAGAGAACCAAATGTGAAGGCTGTACTCCTCAAGCCGTAAGTTCTTTTTTTTTTTTTTGATAACCAAAAAATCCCCAATGCTGTAGGCACACCGACCCATGACGTGCGCCTAACCCGCACAACATGTGATGCACTCTTACCGCTAGTCCATACCCATAGCTTTACAGCATCAAGAAGTAGACCCCACTACTTTCCCACAAGAGGCACATAATATTATGGTTTGAAGACTTGTAAGGACAAAGCAGCTCATGAAATGCAGAGACGGCTAAGCTTTTTAGAAAATTTATGCAGAATGAAAATAGCAAATTGATATTAAGATGGATAGTTCAAAACTGAATCGGAAAGTTGACTCACAGGTGGAGTAAATCCAGGCAACTCTTGTGAGTGGGAAATCACGAAATCACCGGAAGCTGGGCAAGATGTCTCTTTACAAAGGTCGATGGCCTCGTGGTGGACATGGAAGAACAAATAGTTGACATCAATCACCAGCTTTCCTCCAGTGAGATTCTTACCTGCAAGGACAACTCAATCTTCTGGTCAAAAGATACTTCTAGCACATTGTTAAACTTCTTTTTTTGTCCACAAAGGGTTGAAAAAACCTAGTAGACTATGTCATAGTTTATAAATGGTGGGCGCCGCCAATACATAATCAAGATCGTCATATACGATGAACCAACCACAGGAAAGACATAAAATTTGCCACCAAACATCAGAATGATAACATATAAATGTGATATATCATCAGAACATGAGAGTTGGGCTGCTTGCTTAACATAAAGAATAGGATCTCTCAATAATACGCACGGGTCCAAAGAACCAACCAAGAAACAAGATACCGTTTCCTTGGATTTAAGGCCTTGCTAAGCACAAGTTTGGATTCTTCGAGGTTGGATTTATGAGGCCAAAATGAAGTTCAGTTCTTTTTGCAACAACTTCTCAAGCTCAAACAGCATAATAAAATCACCTCATGTAACAGCCAAGCAAGGTCATTTACAGCAAAGCACAGTGACCATGTGCAGGTAAACCCCCTTTAAATTTTAAATGTTTTCCTTTATGTTATCCATGTTCCATCTGTAACGACCGAGTCCAACCATGCTACATATTGTCGTTAGACTACTGATCTATGTCAGTCTTCTAAAAAACAGTGTTCAGGAAAACAGAAACTTTTGCCTCCATCATCTTCAATCACAATATCTTAAACTTTTATTAACACTTCAGGGAATGTAAAGTTGATTTCAAAAGCAAATATTCTTGCTGATAAGAAAGAACTACAACCACCAATCTTAAGGTATATCGACGAGAAACTTCAGCAACATGATAATGCTCATTACATGGTCAAGAGAATGTAAGCATCTCTACCAGTTTGTCCGAAATTTAATTCTTTCATCAAAAGAGGATGAAGAGTGAAGCTTTTCCAAACTAATTTCATGGCTACATCCAAGGTAGGGGCTTAACTTCAAATAACTACGAAGTCTTATTTTGCTACAGGAGAACAAAGGGGAAATACCTTAATCGAGCTGATCTAGCAAACCTAGAGGTTCTTTGAAAAAGAAGAAAAAATTAATAAAATCCAAAGACAAACGAACCAAAATGTTACTTTTAAAAAATTAACACTTATAGACTCGGGATAATCTTGGGGAAACTCGGGAAACGTAGGACTAATGGCGGCCAATATTCCACCTGGTCACCCCCAGTTTCCCCAAAATTATCTCGAGTCCATAGATATCGTGGATGGTGAAGGAATATCCTCACTGCTATTTTTGGATCATCTCTAACTAGGTATATATAAGTCACATTTCAAACTTATTTTCACCAAGTCCTACGTTACTCTCGATGCCTAAGTATGGACCCCTACTTTTGTAGTGTTCTGCCTATTAAGCTTTTTAGTCTATTAACATTTTTGCTATTTTTAAACAGAACCTGCCGCAAAAAATTTATCAACATCTTCTAGATGTTGCAGCGCCTGCTACGTTCTTATGTCAAGGAAAATCTTAGAGCATGAGTTTGACCAGTGGATCAAAGAAAATGATGAATAAGAAATGAAATTTTTTAATTGAAGATAACAATCTGGTGGAGGGGATGGTCTTGCGTTTGAAATACTTCAAATTCATGATGATCATGTCTTCTTTAGGGTTATAATCCTCGGGGGTGAATTTCCAGAGGAATTGCTGAATGGTGAAGATACATCCGAGAATCCGGTTGAGATCGATTAGATCTGAGTGCTGGTGGTTTTTTTAATTTAGTACTTCTCCTTTATTTTTTTCCTTAATCAAAGACAGCCAATGTGGGGTAATCACTGTCTTTTTTTTCTTGCTTCTTGTGTGTGCATGTATTGTCCAAATTATATCAATGTTAATGTTATTTGCATAATTTGTTTTCTATGCAGAAATTTGCGTTTTCTTATAATACATAATTATTACAAATGACTAATGTGATGGAAATGGGTTTCATCTATTGCGTATTAAGGGTCTAAAATTTTAAATTTAAGCTTATTCTGTGTGAATAATAATTATGTGAAAGAATAATAAACCTCCCATACACGTTATGAAGCAACTTGCCCATGCAATCAAACCACCACATTTATTTCAATGGCACCTTTTAACCATCCAATGCCATTAACCATCTTCAAATTAATTGACATCATTATAGTCGAGCCCTTTATTACATAGGTCAGACCACACCCCTCACCTTCCCCTCATATTCAAAAGCCATTTTCTAAATTTTCTTTCACAAAACAAAGTACCACCGAGAAGAGATAACCAAGCCTCCTTTGATCAAAAGGCCAGGGAACTGCACACCCTTCGATTGATGCTCGATGAAGCCATGGACTATGACCGAGAAGAGATAACCAAGCCTCCTTTGATCAAAAGGCCAGGGAACTGCACACCCTTCGATTGATGGTCGATGAAGCCATGGACTATGTCCATTAAAGATATAGTGTGCTCCTGCCATTTACATATACATCAAAGAACGCGTGCATTGCCTCGCTCTTCTACGTTGACTTCATTCCGGCCCAAAAGAAATGTCTTAGATAAACGGGCACCCAACTATGCCTTCTTGGTACAACTTGATCAACCAATCATTCCTTCCCATTCCATGCCTTGTTTTGAATTCTGCCCATCTCCCTTCAAATTCCTCTCTAGTTAAGTTGTCTTGCAAGAGATATAAACTCGTCTTTAGATCCCCTATAGTTAGCAAGACCACTGAATTTCTTAGGTATCTTGCAAAGATATATCATATGCATAAACGAGGGACAATGTTAGGCATGACTTCACTAATTATTGTCTTGATACTTTCACATTGGTCAATATACACATAGGGTGCACCCCTCCCAATGCATAAATCCGGCTTGAGAACAACCAACAGGAAGTATATACGTTCTCATGAGATATTAATGCACAACATTGGCAATGGTGATTTAACACCCACAAATGAAGCAAACGACATCCGATGTTTGTTGACAAGATATTTAGTATATGACCAAAACATGAAATTCCTAGTAACCAGCCTTACATTAAGGATGAACCCAGATTACATTCCTTAATTTCCCTTGACCATCATTATCCATCAAATGGAAGAAGTCCTCGCTTTTCATTTGCATTTCAAGAAAAACCTTTCTGATAGACTCTGCATTAGTTGCATCCATTCTCAACCTCCTAGTATTGGTAATGTAATTACGCAATCCTCCAGCAAACATCCTAATTTGTCAGGTCCGCCAACGCGAGCTTGGTGTGATACAATATTTTTAGCAACTGGAACACCTACTCTATGATTAGCTTCCAATGTTCTCATCAAACCTCTTGATAAAATCTTGTGTCCAGCCATAAGTCTAGACATTTAAGGGTTCAATTCATGTGTATGAAATAGAACTGCCAGGGTCACATGCCAAAGTCCATTACATCCCAACGTAGCATTAACCCTAGCTGGACAACGAGGAGTCTACTTATCAATCCTGGACTCTTTAGCTTTCCCTCCTTTTATCGCATGTAGCACATTATTCCCGTCATTTCGCACTGATCTCTTTACGATAGGGGTGTGCATTCGATTTATCGATTCGATTTTGACCCTTATCGATAATTACTTATCGGTTATCGATTCGTACATATGCTTATCGTTATCGTTTCAATAAGGTTTCGATTTTTTCGATTTCGATCTATTGATTTTGAGGGCTTATCGATTCGGTTATCGATTGCACCAATAAGAAAATTTACGGGATTCAACGGAAAGTATATCCCTATAAACGCGCCTAACTAATATGGACAAAAAGAAGCTAAAATAAGACGAACACCATTTATAATATAAAAATTGTGTCAACAAGCACATGCAACAAAACTAAAGTAAGGGATCAAATGTATGCCACCAATACTCCAACGGTATAAAAAAACAAAACAAAACAAAACACATCATCACGGCTAATTCTGTTTTCTATTAATTTGAACTTCATTCCCTTGATCTTTAAATATGATCATTCCTTAAATGTGGTAGAGGATATAATAGGGCAAGGGACTTAGGGTAAAGGAAAGGGTATAGATTAGGGAAAATAATATTGTATAGCCGCTTTCAAAATAGTAGCGGAATATATATACATTCTGTATGTTATATTAATCTACACAAATAGGTAATTACTCATTTAACAAGTGTCTACAGTCTAGGGGTGTGCATTCGATTTATCGATTCGATTTTGACCCTTATCGATAATTACTTACTTATCGATTATCGATTTGTACATATGCTTATCGTTATCGTTTCAATAAGGTTTCGATTTTTTCGATTTCGATTTCGATTTCGATAACAAATAGTCGATTCGATTTATCGATAAACCAATTCGAATGCACACGCCTACTTTACGATACTAAACCCTTTCAATCTAGCATGTTCCTTATATAACTCATACAAAAGATCTATGTTCAAAAATCTCATACCTAGCATAGGGCCTTGATCTGCATCATATTTACATTCAACAATTCGTATGTCTTTCCCAAAGTCCCTTTTCGTTCCTATATCCTCATTTTCATCCTTTGATAGATCTATTTTGATAGATCTGTTGTTTCATTATTGACATACTATCGTCATCACTGAGCCCAAATAGATCATACATGATTTGGCTCACAACCATGGCATTAGGAAATCCTTCGCTACGGTCTCCTTCCATTTTCCGAAACTAATGAAGAACTAAAATTTGGACGAAAAGGTAATGTTTGTATTATGGATGAAGAGATAATGGTAATGTTTGTATTTTGGATAAAGAGATAATGGAAGGTGAAAAAGTTCCGAATAGATGAACATAATTTGGATGAAAATTTTTATGCAAAACGCACGCGCAATTATTATCATCTAGCATGCTTGATTTGCACTCTAATCTATGTTTAAGTTTTATTTAATTAATCTTTGGAAGGAAAGTTTAATTTTGGAGGGAAACGTTCAGAGAGAATCTAAAGTTAATCCCGCCTAAAACAAGTGAAGGGCACTGTAGTCTTTTCGTTGCGCTTGAAGGCTATTTGGACAAGGCCATTTGGACAAAGATCGTTCCCGTAATTTAAAAAGCAACATTTGCAGTTTTAGGCCATCCACCTCAGCTTGTGATGGACCAAAACCTTCACCATATTTGACAAGGCTAAAAGTCTATGGGCTTGCAGTACAAAACTGTGTAACTGCCCAAACTAACCCTACACGTAATCGACAGTGGGTTGCACATTTTCCATAGTTTTATTTTTCTGTTTGTGAACATTTGTTCACCTTCCCAAATACAAATTTCTTGAATAATTAAAAAAGTTATAGTTGTAGTTAGGTGGGTCACAAGTAGGCCATTTGCTAAAGAACTTCATATGCTTCTCTAATGAACTAGCTAACGGTTCGACGAGTTTGATAAGAATTCAATCCAACTTGTAGACAAGGAAAATAATTCATCATACTCGGGAATTGCAGCACAACCCTATTAGTTCATGCTACTTATGTTATGCGGGAGTCCATATAGGTAGAATAGCGTCTCTTAGCGAAATGCTAAGTGAAGAGAATTTACATTACTCACAAGTATCAATACACACGCACACAAGTTGTCAATGACTTTCCAGGACCGATACACATTTTGTCCTAGGCCTTGTTCGTCAACAATTCCCAGAAGATGAAGGACAAAAGCGAATGAACCAATAACACAAATGAAAAGTAACTTTTTTCATTTGTGTGAATCCCAACATCATTGCAAATATTCACATTATTTTTTATAAAGTAACTTTTTTTTTTACAACAAGTGTACTTGACGTAATATCATCTCCAGCGATAACATAAAATTGGGTTGCCTTGTACTATTTCTTTTTCCAACTTTAAGTTAGGATATAAAACTGCAATAATTTCAACCAAGCCAGGTACGTTTTTGGATGCCACTGACATCCCTCAATTTCCACATATGACACACTTACTTCCACACAAACACAAACTCCCAATTGTAAGCAAGACATACATCCAATCATTTAGCACATTATTGCGAGTAGGCAATAAAACCAGCAAATCATTAGGTAGCAGGTAAATTAGTTTATCAGCTTAATTAATTCGTTTACATTAATATGACAAGAGGGGGGAAAAAAGATAAAATTTGCAATTAATTCATTACCTGTGGATGCACTGATACTGAATGTGGTCTTTTTACCTCCGCTGACTGGATAGGGTGTTATATCAATTCCACTGACCTTAACAGCGTAGTTGGCCTTTTTATCTGCAAAACCAAAAAATAAGTTCATCAGTTGCCATAACATCAGAATTTTCTATAATAAAGTTTCCTCAATATTTCCCAGAAGAATATTTTAAACGGATTAATCACTACTAAAATGCTCAATTTCACTGGAAAAATATCTTCTTAATACAAAATTATTGTTTTAAAATCTAGAAGTTAATTTTATACACCTTCTCAGACATTTAGAGTTAAGAAAAAAGTGATCTTTGTTTTTTTTTTCAAAGTTACCACTTATACTACAGAGTGATTATTGTGATCATTTAGCAGTATGTACAAAATTACCACTTATAGCAGTTTCTTCATGAAGTACAACTTATAGCTTGTCATGTAATTTGTAAATATCTAATAAATTTTATTTTCAAAAAGAGAAAGAATTTCTAACAAACTTAAATCCGCAAGATGGACTTCCTCCAAGAGTGAAAAAGACAAAAAAAACAAAACTTGTACAAGCTTCCAACTTTAGCAAAGAATATTAATTCAACAAATCACCAAAAATCAGAGAGTAAAAAAGAAAAAAAAACCCTAAAATTGAAAAACGTAAATGGGTATCTACCAAACAGATTCAACAGACAATCAAAAAAAAAAAGATCCAACAAAATATACATTGTAAAAACTAAATCAACAAAATTCGGGTTGCATATTGAACAGAATGAAAGTCAAAGGACTAATAAGGAAAAACTCACTGCAATACTCGAAATCGGTGGATTCAGCGGAAGTGAGAGGAGAGAGAAGAGATAGGAATAACAGAAGACCAACAAAGAGTTTCACGGCAATCATTGCCATTTGATTGGAGCAAAGCAAAGCAAAGGACGGATACAGATAAAGATGGGAGAGAATAATAATGGTTGAAAGTGCAAGTCTCCTATTAAAGCGTTATAACCACCGACTCCAAATTATCACCTAGTTGGACTGCTACTTAGGAAGGAGAGACCAGATACGAACGGAACTGTTAGGTGGGCAACGTAGGAATTTTCAACACAACCCAACAAATAGCGAGAAGTAGGGGTGTACAAATAAAACCGATAAATCGCACTAATTCGATAATTCGAGTCAAACCGAGAAAAAGAATCCGATTATGATTTGGTTTGATTTGGTTTCGTGTTGGAAAAAAAAACCGTCCACATTTGGTTTGGTTTGGTTTTAATTAAAAAAAGTCAAACCGAATCAAACCAACACGGCTTTATATGTATAGAAGTTTTAAATATATTTAATACATAAAAATATTTATGGTAGTGCAGTTTATAAATATTTCTTAAACTTTTTCATAATTTTATCTTTTAACGTATTATTTCAAACTTGGGCTTATAATTATTGGATGCTCCAATAAGTTTTAATGTACATAAATGTTAGTAACTCAAATAAATCTTAAACCAAATCAAATCAATATTAATGCTAATTAAAGACATTCAATTCGATTGTACTATGAATGAAAATAGTGTTGGATATCTATTTTTTAGTTTTTTCATTGTTTAGATAAAATGTATAACTTATTTTTCTTTTAGTGGTTAGTTAGATAAATAATAGTACTTATTGGTCATAATTTTAAATTATGTTTGTTTTCATTATGGCTTATTAATAATATTTATTTTATGCGATTTTGTTATCTTTATTGTTGAATATTTTAATACAATGCCATGATTCATCTCATATTTATGTTAAAACACTTTATATAGTTATGTCTTACTAGGATTAAAGAAATATTTGGAGCAAAAATTTTACGTTTTATGCTATGAAGACTTTATGAAAAAAAAACCGAAAAAACCCGAAAATCCGAAAAAATCGAAAAAAACCGAGATTAAAAAATCCGACTTTTATTGGTTTGGTTTGGTATTTAATTTTAATAACCCGATACAATTGGTTTGGTTTGGTAATTAGAAAATCCGAACCAACCCGACCTATGTACACCCCTACTTCTTACCCTCCAAATAGTTGTGGCAGTCAAAGATGGCTTTGCAACGACCAGACCGGTCGTTTTTAGAATTCACGCCTCGATTCCCTATTAACTGCTTCCCCTAAGTTTATTCTGCTATCTTAGTTTGCCGGGACATTCGGTGTGGGGGTT